GGCAAGAGATAGCTTTTTGTGAATGTGTATGCCCCCAAGACTCTCAGAAGAGCGGAGGGTAGCACGGGGGTCAAGGTTTAAGGCACAATAGGTGATTTTGGTTAACGTATCAAATGAAATGCATGGTCGGTACCCGGAAGGTTTACAAACGTGTCATTACCGCTGTTCTTTACTTCTTCAAGTACCTCTCGCGAATCGTAAGATTTCTATCGCCTCTTCACATTTACAATAGCGCATTGTTGAATACCTAAACATCTTTCACGCTGATACGGTAGCTGCTCACTATTATTCCGTACTTATGGGGCTTATGTCTAGTGCCTTGTCAGATTAGCGTTATTTATTTAATTTGTTAGTGTTGTTAATGATACTTTCTCGTTGTGCACACTTGACGAGCCCGGATCATGAAGGAAATTTTATTTATTCAACTGATTGAATTAATTTATTATTGGTTTCAGTTTTAGTGTCGATACCCTGTGATTTATAATAATTATTAACATAAAATCTAATTATTATTACAGTTAACGTTTTCACTTTTCCTGTTTTCATGCTTAGTGAACATTATTCTAAGCTGCTGTTAGTAAGGAAGGAAAATAGTACTCCGAAAAAGTAACATTTATTGCGCAATTTCTGACGTCTACCTATATCACCGTTGACATCAGTGAGTTAGTATGTCGGTTTATCTGATGCTATTTTTAATAGGGTAGTTTTAGTGATGGCTGCATCATGTTTCATGAGATATAGTATATTTGCTGAAACAATTAAGTGATTTTTATGTGAAATTATAGTTCGCAGGACGCGGAAAGATTTAGCCTCAAAAGAAAAATTGACCATTCACCATCTCAAAATGTTGTCACGCTTAAATATCGTATTCATTCTCCCGTTTCATAATCCTGAATGTTCTATTTGCCAACCCATTCAAAAATAATGATTGATTGATATGGATAAAAATCATAGAATATATAGATAGATTATTTTTGTCACAAGTTAGCCCCTGTTAGAAAAAATTACGAATAATTACGAATATGTATACCAAAGGAATTAAATGATCAAATCAGTCAATTAGTCCCCCACTCATTTGACGACGATGCGATCTACAAATGTCTCCCCTATCCCACAAAGCTCTCCGACAATATTGCGATCATAATTGTGATGATTAAACCTCACCAGCGACAGCGGCCAGTTCGCGACAGGTTTTTTCTATATTTGTTGCCTTCGACGAGAGTACTGACAATATTTCTATAATTCATTCTTAAGGGCACATGTACAGGAAAATCTATGTGTGAAATATTTATAATAGTGTAGTAATGTGTAGAACTACCGAGGTAAAAGTGTATAAATAAACTAATTATATATACCTTTTCTCCATTCCGTCGGCCTCCCACCTCAAAATTATTTACCCCCCAACACATTTTCAAAAATGAGTAAAATTCTCTGTAACGTCAAAAAATAGTTTGAGATGTTTTTATATTCTTAGTTTTTTGTCACTGAGCGGCAAACCCTACACAGATTTTTCGTTCTTGACATAGAAGTAACTTTTGCCAAAGTTACGTCAAAAACCAAGCAATGCCTTTCGAGTTAAGGCCAATTATTAGCCGACAGACCGAAAGCTCGACAGGTCGACAGACAAAGAGACACACATCAAGACAACATCTCATTTTTGAAATTTTTCTCGATTCCAATATTTCCTCGCCAATTAGCGTGAGGAGTAAAATATTACAACGCCAGCCGCTCTGAATCTGTCTGTCTATAGGTTAGTTTCTTTTCAGTCCATCGACGTTTATGTTAAAACAGCATCAACCGACTGTAATGAAATTCAGGGAACAACGCATTGTGATGCGAGATAATGGGAAAATATCTAAACTTCCTTTTGCGCCATTAGAGCTTTCAGTTATTTTCTAGTTTAACAAAAAAGTGTCATTCGTAAGACATAGATTTTTACAATTCATACTCACACTTTTATGAAGCTATTAATTATCATGCGGAAAAGTTCAATAACATGATAGCACGGAAAAATTGCAGAGGAAGCATTTTTATCTCTATTTTAGCGGTACCTATTGTGACATTTGGTGGGAACTCAAAAATGATTTTCGGTGTTTCATAGTAATATTTAGAATAGAATCAGAGCATTTATTTCCAATTTGGTTGTTTTTCTATGCTTGGCTTCACCGGTCAACTGGTGCAATAAGAATGCATTCAAGTATTTTAATACAACACATAATGCAAGCCCATGAAGATTCTTTTAGATTCACAACAGTTAGTTCCCACGCTGTGTTGAAATTTCTTAATAAAATTAAAAGCAATGCTGTAGGCTCGGAATAATATTTCGTTACGTATGTTACTATTAGTTTCCTCTGATTTGATAGAGTTTATTTTAAATTTCTCAACCACATCTGGAACATTTCCTCTTGCATGGAAGCATGCTTTGGTGAGGCCAATACCTAAATGTAACTCACCTGATGAGCTCTCTGACCTAAGACCGATTAGTATTCTGCCTACCCTATCAAAACTCCTAGAACTCATCATGAAAGACCAAATGCTTACCTATGCTATTCAAAATAATATTATTACTAGCTTCCAGTCAGGTTTTCGTCATCATAGCACCTCCACGACTTTAATGAAGATTACGGATGATCTTATTAGAGCAACTGATCAAGGTAATTGCACTTGTCTTGTGTTACTCGACTTCAGCAAAGCTTTCGACACCTTAAACCACGACACGCTTCTCACAAAATTGATATACTTCGGTTTTTCTTATAACTCGGTTCTACTTCTTGAGAGCTACTTAAAAAATCGCACCCAGAGTACAGTTATAGATGATAATTACTCTTCCTCGTTGAATAAGGTTTTCGGTGTTCCACAAGGTTCCGTCTTGGGTCCACTCCTTTTCAGCTTATAGACAAGTGACTTTCATGATTTTGTTAATTTTTCTCAGTTACATCATTATGCCGACGATACCCAGATATATATATCGTTCTCCGCATCCAAAGCTGTTACTGCACAAATTGAACTGAATAAAGATTTAAAATCTCTATATAACATATCTATAGCACATAATTTACAGCTAAATCCGAAGAAATCACAAGTAATGATTTTTGGCAATAAAAATAAAAGACCTAATCTGCATGGCACATTTTCAGTTACTATAAATGATGTATCATTGCCAATAATCAGTGAAAACAAAAATCTTGGCATATGGCTGGACTCTGATCTAAGATATACTAAACATGTTAGTCACTTGTGCCAAGTCTCCTATAACGTGTTAAGACAACTTTATCCCAGCAGGAGTATATTATCAAAATTCATGAAGGTCAAACTATGTGAAGCTTTGATTTTGTCTAAACTGGCTTACTGTGACTGCATATATGGACCTGCCCTTTTGCAAACAGATATTCTACGCATTCAGCGAATTCAAAATTTTTGCATCAGGTTTGCATATGGTATCCGAAAGTATGACCACATCAGTGAGAGCCTTATGGATTCTGGTTGGCTTACCATGATTAACATAAGAAAACTTCATTTTTTCACATCAGTACACAAGATCGTTACTAGTGGAACACCTACTTATCTATACAATAAACTTACCAGACTGCCTGATAATAAAGTAACTCGCAATAAACATCTTTTGGTTATTCCTAAACATTCAACAGCTCTGTTTAAGCGCAGCTTTTCATACAATGCTGCGAAACTGTATAACAGCTTGGCAGTAGATCTCAAGAATCTGAGCCTCCGCAATTTTAAAAAAAGATTGAAAGCTGATCTCCTGCACGACCAAGGGCCTAAAGTATAAGCAAACCTCGCTACGTTTTAAAGGATAATGTCCCAGTATGTTTCTTTTTAAGTCGCCTTGTTCTTTTTTGCATGAATTGTGCTCTCATAAAAACTGCATTGGTCATAAAAACTGCATTGGCCATGTTCTCGTATTTTCTGTTTTGTATTGCATATTATCTTTTTATATATATATATATATATATATATTTTGTATGAGTGTTATTTTTTGTGGGTTTAGTTGAAAAGCAGCTTAGGCTGAACTACGCCTTTCATCATTTTATCTTTAATTTTATTTTTTTTATCCTCAAGTTATTTATAATGATGAATAAAGACCATATTATTATTATTATAAAAATTGAAATTCACCCGACTCGTTTTTGACAAAAATTTTGCTGTGAAATAATGTTTCCACTACAACAAAATCTATTTTGAATTTTGATTCAGTTTTGGTTTAGAAAATTCAGAATATTCTGGAAACGTTACATGGTTTTCAGGGCCTAAGGCTTAGTCTTAACGTAGGGTGTTCCGTACTTGAATGGACGTAGTATGGACCTAGACATTTTCATGTCTGAAAATAAATAATTTTTGAATTCATTTTTACTGAGATACTGGGCCAAATATGTATTATCACATATCTCAGACCGATATTATTGAAACCTTGCAAGATAACAAAGTTAAATAGAAGTGAGGTAAAACCAGACGAACAGGGCCGGACGAGATATTTGAGTGAATAAAAAAACAAAAGATGTGCAATCAGTCGAGTTTGCCAATCCATGCATTCATTGGACTTTTGTACATAGTTTAACATTCCGATATTCAGCTTGAAAAGTGTTGATTTTGGTCAAAAACAAAGAAGTGAAACAAAAATCGTGTCCGATCCTTGATTTTTAAACCATCCCTCTAGCATTACGTTACCCTTAGGACTTTGTTATTGTGCACAATTTTCCCAAAATGGGTTCTACAGTGCCAGAAATGTGTGCTATTAAAGATTTGGCGTGCTTAGATAAATCACCGTAAAAACTGAACTTTCTTGTTTTCAGAGATGGAAAGGTCTCAGTCCATACTACTTGCCATTTCACTAGGTCCATTCAAGTCTTTTAGAACCGTAGCTCACGTTATTTCCACTATTATGAAATAATCCATACGTCAAGCATGCCTGGCTACGGCACTGGTCGCACTAAGCATCACAAAACTCACTATACATAATATAGGCAAATAAAATCATCACTAACCACTATGCTCCTGTGGACCCACATATCGCAGCATCGGCGGGACCGGTTGGGACCTTGGTGTATGTGGTGTGTTGCACTTGCTTCCGCGCTTTGCAGCTGCGCCAATGGCATGCCGGCATGTTTTATAGGTTCGCATCGCGGGTGCCCGTGCCCCGGCGCGAGGTGTGGGAACAACAGAAGAACACTTTCACTATCATCGGCAAGGCCAAGGCACAAGGCTGGACGAAGGATGGTTTTCCGTGTTGAAGGACCGTTCTCGCAAGCTGCGAATCTGTCTCTTTATGTTAAACAAACTTACTTAAGTTTTCAGGATAGAAAAAATTAGACATTGCTCTCCTTGGCCAAGATTCAAGGCTGGAAATGTACGGTCTCCTATATCGTAAGCTGTATGTGGTTTAACTCTTTCAGGGGCAAGTAGCTTCGGTTGAAAAAACCCTAGAGGGGCACACATTTTTTATATACTTTTTCAACTTGTACGAGCCTCTTCCCACTTCAGTTGGCCCAACTATTGAAATCTTAGTTTTTTTCTTATCAAACACAAATAATAAAAATTTAGCAGGGTGTTATAGGTTTAAAATATTAACAATGAATATTTTGATAATATATAGTAGAAAACACCACCTTTATCACTCCCTAATCAAATTTGCAGCATAAAAATAACACATGTTGCAATTACAGCATATCAACCTATTTTCATTTCAATGCAAAATAAGTCTATAACGCGTAGGTGGCTGTGAAAAATAAAAGCCATGACAATTGTTTTGATTAATCACAGCTGTCAGAATACCTTTAAAATAGTTTTGGGTAGTTAAGGTTTTCAAAATGGGTAGAGGAAAGGTTATTAGTGAGAAAATTCGGCTACTGACAATTAAATTTTTTAATTCTGGGAAATCAAACTCAGAAATTGCAACTTTGTTAGACTTATCGCGGTACAGTGTGAAAAATATTGTTAGAAGATATAACGTAACTGGTTCAGTTAATATTAAGCCACGATATGTGAAAAAAAGTAATATCACAAATGCCGACCGAATAGCATTAAGAAGAATAATCGTGAAAAACACGCGTGCCAATTGTTTACAATTAAGTGCTCTGTGGAGCGACGCTGTTGGAAGGAGAAATTCGAGGACCACAACTCATAGAGAGGCCCACAAACTGGGATTTAGCACTTGCAGGGTAAGTTTTCTTATAAAAAAAGTGAAGTAAAAACCCTAAAGTTGCACAACTTGTTTATAGGCCAAAGAAAAGCCACTATTCACTCCAATGCAAAAGAAAAATCGGCTTAGATGGGCTAAAGAACATAGACAATGGACACCTCAACAATGGTGTGTAATACAATGGAGTGATGAGGCCGGATTCGAAGTTTGTGTTGGTGACAGTCGCAGTAGAGTTATTCGCAAAAAAAAGAAGCATTCCATGTTGACTGTCTGAAGAGAAAAGTGAAATTTCCAGCATCCATTATGGTCTGGGGCAGTATGTCATCAAAAGGAGTAGGAAAACTTCATTTTATTGATGGAAATGTGGATACAAACAAATATTTGGAAATTTTAGAAGAATCGGTTTTACCAGTGATGGAAGAATGTTTGACATCCGGCCAAGATTTTGTGTTTCAGCAAGATGGTGCAGCGTGCCATACCTCAAAAAAGGCTATACAATGCATGGAAGAAAGTAATGTACCACTTTTGAAATGGGTTTTTAGCAGTCCAGATCTGTCACCTATTGAAACTTTGTGGCACGAGATGAAAAAGGTTCTACGACAACATCCTACTCGTACAATCACCGAACTGAGACAAAAGCTTCAAGAAATAACAGATTATTTTACACCAAATTTTTGCCAAAACTTGGTTAACACTATGCCCCAAAGAATTTCAGCCGTAATAAAAAATAAAGGTGATGTTACCCAATGGTAATCTTTCAATTGTTGCTTTGTTAACTTCGCGCATTTATTCGCACATTGTTTATTTGTTCAGATGTTCTATTAGTTATAGGACTAAGTGATTTCAAATATGTATTTTTTACGACTAGAGTGTATCTAAAATGTTTATTGAGAAAATAATTTTTTTTAAAAGTAAATAGTTTCATCATGTTTAGTTTATAAAGGCATATTTTGGTACAAATCTTGAAGTGGGCCAACTGAAGTGGGAATAAAAAAAAACTAGTGAAACAGTTTTTCTTTGTACTTTTTTCTATAGTTTCCAAAAATTCAGGTGGTACGAATAATGTACCAGCGTACATCAATGTAAATTGTTGTTGATTATGGAGATGCTGAAAACATGCTTTATTTTTTCTAAAAAACAGAGAGGCACCTTGCAAACAGTACACATCCAATCGGTCCGAATCTCTTTTTTTGAGGTGCTGCAGTAGGCGGAACGACGTCTGGTGGTTCTTTGTGGTTGTTTCCTCAATTATTACATTAATTTTCTCGGATAATGGAACGGTTTTTATTTTTTTTACTCAAAACTGGCGCATCGAAGGATAACAATTCATGATAGATTATTTGTTTTACATTGAATGGGAAATTCAAAGATATTTTTTATTTGGCAAAAAATCATTGGCGTACCATTTTTTCTTAAAAAATATAGAAGTCAATACACGTACGCACGCCACTGTTAAAGCTAAAAATTGTTTTTGCATTGAAAAATATGCAACTTTATTAACTTTCACTACGTACATAATATTAGTGAAATATCTAATTACCATTTTTTTCCTAAAACTTCAACACCCCGAGCTTTTGTTAGGAAACATTTTCGAACCATAGTGTATAAAGCAAACTAACATTAATTTTTCATGTAGATACACACCCTTAAATATTCGCATATCATTAAGGGACACCCTGTAGATATTTTCAGTAGGTAGCATTATTAAGCACATCAAAAAGAGCATGCAAAATTTTTCTATTTAATTTTCGTTGGTTAGGTCTTAAATATAAGTAGGTTGGGTAATCACATGAATCATTTGAATGAATTTATATAAATACATTGTAAATTGTAAATAAATAAATGAATGGAATCTTTACATTAAGTGCACTTTCCGACTTCTGCCTAATCATCATTCGTTACTACCAAATCAAGATTCATCACTAAAAAATGTTGCACCATTGACTTCCAATTTTTTCGGTCTCTGAATTAGAGATGCATGATGAATGGGTCAGGAGCTTTCTCGGAGAAATATATGATGTGAAGCCTTTAGTTGGATGTCACTTGCACTATACGATATGGTTTGAGGCGCCATTTCGTATGGTGCTAAGTCACTTTTACGTTTCCATTAGGGAAAGTATGACGAAGCAAATACTAGAACCTCATCCTTCAAGATTTCTTCATGCACTTGAGAACTCCAACTCCAACTCCAACTTCCAAAAAATGGCCATCCCCATATTGCTGGAACTACAACATACCCTCTTACTCAAGGACTGACCCAGCTGGTGACGAGCCCTACTTTTTTCCTCCGCATCTTGTCACACGCCAGTAGCCTGCTGGATCTCTTTCTGACCACGCATCCTGTCCCTTACAGCTCTGCTGTCCTGCCCCCCCTGGGTAACTCAGACCAATGTGTTGTGGAGGTTAGGTTTCGGTCTGAACCCGCTGTGGCAGCAGAATACCGTACAGGCCGCAAAACTTGGCATTACGGACATGCCAACTGGGAGGGGCTCAGAGACTTCTTCTCTACCTTTCCTTGGAGAGTCTCATGTCGTTGCTCTTGACATCACGAAAGCGTTCGATCAGCTGTGGCACGCTGTCCGCTTAAGCAAACTTCCATCCTATGGCCTTCCAGATAAGCTTTGTAGATGGGTGGCTGACTTTATCTCTGGCCGCAAGATATCCGTCGTAATTGACGGGTTCTCCGCTGCATCCCACAACGTCAACGCGGGTGTTCCCCAGGGATCGGTCTTGGCTCCAACACTGTTTCTCTTACATATCAACGACCTCCTTTCCTGCACGATCAACCCAATCCACAGCTTCGCTGATGACAGCACTCTACATGCAGGAATTCACAGTGACAAGCCGATCTCTGCCGCTGAGCTGGAAAGAAGAAGACTAGCGACGACTTCCTCTCTGACAAGAGACCTGGAAGCTATCACTGCTTGGGGATCGCAACAATCTTGTACAGTTCAATGCTTCCAAAACACAGTACTGCACTTTGATGAACAAAAAGCGTCCTAGCGGCATTTAGGCTTCTGCCTGCGCGGCTGCTTCGATATAAAAAAAAGACAACCTTAATAATGACCAAATCAACCTCCTTCTTTGGCCTTCTAGATCTCTAGACTATTTGCCAATGGAATGTGAAAAGAAAAGCGAGCTTTCATCTTCCACCAATTTTAGCCTAACCAAGTACAGCTAGCTTGGGATGAGATACCTCAGATACATCAGAAGCATGCCCCTTGCCCCGACATTTTATTAGCAAAATCTAGCGATACCGTAAATGTTTTCAATTCAAAATTTACTCACGGATATGTCTAACTGTTCACAAAAATTCGTTTAAATAAAATCACTTTTACTAACTGCACAGAAACCAAACAAAGTCAAAGAGAAGAAGTAAGAAAGAATGGGGAAAGAGGAAGAGCAAAAGGTGAGAAATACAGCTATTAGATAGATAGATAGATAGATAGATACATTTATTGTCTTGTAGATCATAAAAAATGACATAAGACTCGTCCTAAGAGGGAGGTACATAGTACACATAATTAAAAATAAAAACGAAACAAACATAAGTATTTACAAAGTACAAACAGGGACTTAATGCGTACAGACATTCACATATAAAAAAAGTTTAAAAAAAAAAATATATCACAGTGCAAGGTATTCAGACAAAGAATAGAAACATTTTTCAACTAATAATTTGCGTAGTTTACATTTAAAACTAGGAATACTACTGACATTCCTGAGGTTAGCTGAAAGTTTGTTATATATTTTGATGCAGGTGTATTCCGGTGACTTTTCGAACAGCGTGAGTGTGTGTTTTGGAATACTCAGACTCTCACCTGCCCTTGTATTATAATGTGTGTTGATGTTTCTGTTCTGTATAAATTT